ATGTTTTTTCCTCTTTGGTGTGAGGAACCCTCATCACTGTGTGCATGTCCACTGTTCACGATGCTAATGGTCTGTTAGCATTCAACGCACACTGAAGTGTCCTTAAATGGTCTTTCCAACATCTGCAGGACAATTTTTAATCTGTCCACAAACACAACTGCTTCTGGTCTTCATGCTAAGCTAAGCTAATTGCTTCGTTGGTATCAGCCGCCTGGTTTAACCTTCAGCTACAACAAACATGTCTCCCAGTTCGGTTTGTGGATGTGTTTCTGCGATGTGTTGGTCTCTGGATGATAAACTTGTGGAGCAGGGTGACCCGCAGACGTTCTAAGCTGCAGCTCGGCTCTCGGCTGCAGGAGGCTTCGTGTTGTGAGGATTATGGAGCAGCAGGCGAGCTGCCGGCGCTCTGATAACCGGAGCTGCTGCTCTGAAGGGCCTCTGCGGCGCGACGCTTGGCAGGACGAGCCGCGGCTGTTTTCGGGGAGGTGAACTTTTCAAACCGACACGAGTCAGAACAAAGGCAGACGAAGCAGCTGAGGCTCTGAGATCGAGGGGGAAGATGTCACCGCCGGACAGGAAGTGGAGCAGATAAAACGCCGCGTCGTGCTTCTGCACATCAGCTCATGTGTTAAACCTCGTCTGTGTGTGTTTGTGTGTCCGCAGGCCGTCGAGACCAATCTGGCCTCCAAAGACAGTCACTGGGTGTTCGTCAACGAGGTGAGAAACGAAGCCGACGCAGCATCTCCACACACTGCCCGAGAGCCGGAGCAACCTCAGGGAACCCTGGGATATTTAAGGAACCGTACAGTTCAGAGAAGAGCTTTACTGGAAGAACCGCATTAAAATGGGTTCTGTAGAAGTAGAGAAGCTGCTGGTTCATCATGACCTCCATCCTTTAGAGCTCTGAACGGTTCCTTGAGGAACTCCTGCTGCAGAGATTCATTAATTTTGATCTCTTAATTATAACTATTATTAGTAGTGGTATTTGTAGTAGTGTTATAAATACTTGTAAATAGTCAGCTAACAGCAGCAAATAGTACGCTAAAAATAACAGTTACCAAAGTGGTTAATTAAAATGACTCGTTAGCTTAACGTAAATGATTAAATGTTTAGTAAAGGAATAATTGGTTAGCTTGAAATAATGGATTTAATTCTTAGCTATAAATACTAAATACGTAAAAGTAATGTATTAGCTAAAATTAATATTCATAAAAATATATATTAATCCATTTTAAAATGTGCTTACGTTACCATTTACTACTTTTGGCTATTTGTTGTGTTCACCAAGCTAGCATCACTTTTAAGTAGCTGCTTTGTTACATTTAGCAAAGCATTTATTTTCTCTAGCGACCTATTTATTACTTTTAGTTAACTATTTATTATTTTAGCTATTTATAACCTTTAGCTAATGAGTGCTTACTTTTAACTATTTATTCCTTTTAGCTTTAGCTAATTATGTTTTATTGTTAACAAACGATTTATTACCTTTAGCGATTTATTCCTTTTAGCTTTAGCTAACTGTTTATACTTTTAGCTTTAGCTAACTGTTTAGTTCCGTTAGCTTAAGCTTGCTATGTTTTGTTGTTAGCAAACTATTTGCTACTTTTAGCTAACTATATGGTAATTTCATCCCATTATTTATGACTTCTAGCCGACTAGTTGATTTAGCCAACGTTTCTTAATTTTTTTAGTTTTAGCTAATCAGTCACTACGTTTGTTCTCCAAGTCAGCAGGGTTCCTCTGAGTTCCTTGAGGTTCTCCTAACTCTACAAGAACACAGTCACGTATCGCCTGACTGACACTTCACATTTACACTTTTAAAAATAAATCAAATAACCTCCGTTTTTTTTGTAATTGTGTAAATATTTTAGCTACTTGCTGTAATTTACCAACATCTGAAGTGACAGTGAATTGTCTGAGAAACACTGAAGCTGTTCATGTTCTCCAGTTCATCATATCAGGCTTCAGAACCTTTGACAGCTTTAATTACAGCTGATTTGGAAATAAAAGCGGGATAAGCCGTAGATCCTCCTCAGTCTGCTGTAGAAACCTCCAGCCGGGCGCTCGTCTCTCCAGCGGCTGCCCTTTATTTCCCCTCATGTGGGAAACTTTCGCTGCTGGAGGTAAAATTGGAATGAGAAGGAAAATGACAGCAGAAAGCTCCACCAGCTGGGATCCTGTTAAAGCCCCGAACGCTGACGTCTCCAGAGCTCCGGCTGGGTTCTGTTGTTTTCTTTTAAATTCTCTCCTCTTTAATTCCTCTCTGCTCCCAGTATCAATATCATCGTCGCAGCCAATTAACGGCGCTGACAACAGCGTTAACGGCATCATTCAGCCGCTGAAGGCTGAATACAGAAAACCTCCGCTGCCACATTCCCTTCTCTCTTTTTTCCTCCTTTTTACCTCCCAGCTCGGTAACAACCTCCTAATCCACTTCAAATTCTCTGCTTTGTTTCAAAGTCATCATTTAGCTAATTACACTCTGCCTCTTTAATTAACCGGAGGAGCGGAGCCATGTTGGGGATCCCCAGAGCCGCCGGTTCGTTAGCGTTTGGGCTTTTTGGCGCGTTACAGTTTGTGATCAAATATATTTCTTTTGATAAATGCGCTGGTGTGTTCCTGATGAAGGGAAACGCTGGAAAGCGGTCACAGCTCACACGATAGCGCTAAAATCCAAAACTCCGCTTTAATTTAACAACAAAGCGTCGACATATGGAGCTAAATGGACTTTTTCTGAAGTCCCGTTTGAAGAGATGAACTCCGTCAGCTTCAGAACGCTTCACGTCAAACCAACACTTCAGACCAGTTTCCAAAACTCCATTTAAACATCTTGTTTCAAACCAACGGCATAAATAAAAACCTCCGAAGGTCGCTGGATGCCAACAAACACTGAAGGATTAAAGCTCAACAGAGGATTTTAATAACAGTAATAAATGTACTGGAGTTAAATCTGATCAGGTTAATCTGTGACTCGCTGCTGTGAACCGCCTTTAGTTCCTTTATTAGCATCTATGAGCAGCGTTTACCAGGAACTTCATCTGTTTAACACGTTGGTTAAAGTGGAATGTCTGTCAATTATAAACTGGGAACAAACTAGGAATAAACTGGAAACAAACCTGAGAACAAATTTGGAATAAACTGACAATAAACTGGGAACAAACTAGGAATAAACTGAAAACAAACCCTGACACCAAATGAGAATAAACTGGGAGCAAAAATAGGAATAAACAGGGAACAAACTGAAAACAAACCTGTGAACAAATGGGAAAAAAATGGGAGCAAACTAGGAATAAACTCAGAACAAACTCGCAATAAATTTAGAACAAACCGGAAATAAACTGGGAATAAACTGGGAACAAACTGGGAACAAACTGAAAACAAACCTGAGAACAGACAGGGACCAAATGGGAATAAACTGGGAATAAACAAATCTGGGTAAAGTACCTAAAGCTCCTTCTCTGTTCTTTCACGCTGAGTTCCTTTTAGCTCCGGTTTTCAGGGTTCATCTTGTAGCAAACGAGAATATTTGTGCAGAACGTGAAGCCAGACGATGTCGTCGATGATTTACAGGAGTTTTATTTTTTTCTAAAACCCAAACCCGACTGCGGTTCTTGCTGAAGAGTCGGCGGATCGGTGGAGTTTAAATGTCACTGCAGCAGATGCTCAGACGTTTCCACCGAAGGCTGAAGATGCCTGAAAATGTCAGCAGCTAAAAAAAAGACAGAAAAGAAAGAACAGAAAAGTTCTGGAGTCGCTGCAGTGAAACTTCAGAACCTGTGAAGGAATCCGTCAAACTGCCGTCAGGTGAACGTTAAAGGGAATCACAGTTTGTAAATCGGAGGTAAAGTCTGACGGACGAGGGATGTTTAAGGTGGACTGTGACACCTTAAGGAGACGGAAACTCGTTAGCGGACCTCGTTATGTGGAGACGAGTCTTTGAGATGCTAATCGGCTCTTTGTGAGGAAGAGCAGCTGCAGGTTTTGCAGTTAAAGCGGATCGACGGCTGCATCCGTCAGGTTTCCCTCCTCTGGTTCACAAGTTCACCGTCCTTTCATTTCTCAGTCAGCTGCCTGCAGACGCTGTCAAAACAGAAACATTCCTCCAGCGGTGGAGCCAGAAATGCCTAAAATACCAGGAAATAACCATAAAAATATAGTTCTGTGTAGATTACAGCTAACTGGTGTTCTGCACTGATGGAAACAATAATTCAACAGTTTGGTGGAAAAAAACGTCGCTAAATACACAAAACATTCCTCATTTAA